TCTCATTTTTTATCTTTTCTTTCCCTCAAACGATATCCTTGCTTTGGGGGCACTGCACATATTTCTAAACATGAGACCAGTTCTCTTTTATCACTGAAGTCAAAACATAAAACTGAGAAGAATGTAATAAGCCGGGATTAAACTGCTTTTGTTGGATAGACGTGAGAGTCCTGGAGTCTTTTTCTATTAAAGTTTGATGTGCTTAAATTCAGCCTATGATGTTAGCAATGCAAGAAGCTTCAGGCAGGAAAAGTACACATATACATGGTGTAGAATTAGGGTAGATTTTTGTAACTAGGACAAGAAAAGCCAGTTTCGCTTTTTTACAATTCTGTACTTTATATTTTTTTTAATAAAGCATTTTTCCCCATGTACATTTGCACTGTATCTAAGCAAAGGTTGAATGCAACCTTCTGATAACCTTGTGACTGTGCTTTCAGACAGATAGAAACTTCAGAGCACTGCTTACAGGAATCTGGTATCTTTTGCAGTTCTAGGGATTTGTGGATCATTCCTCTTTTCTGTGATAATGAGGGGTTGTTAACATCAGAAAAGGTTAAGTAACTCTTGGGCAGGCATGGATTTAGGAGTTACATTGGCCATAGCCAATTTTTTTGCCCACATAATTAAAGGACCTCAAGCACGGTAACTGGTTGGTTATTTATATTACTTGTTTGGGGTTCTCCCCCCGCCCCCCCAAAAAAAATCTAGTATGACACTGCTCAGGGCCTGTAGGCCAAATGAGCAGTATCATTAAGTATTTAAGCAAAGGTAATCACTCTTGATTCTCAGTGCCAGAAACTAAATGCACAAATGCTCACTGTTTATGTCCAGCCGATGTATACTACTTAATGTTGCTACATGTCTCAAGCCAGAATACTTTTAAATTGGTTAATTATGTATTTTAATCTATTTTACTTTTGTTTATTGGATTACTGTTTGTCTTTGCTGGCTTAAGTCCAAGGAGATAAGGTGGGGCAGAAAACGTTTTAAATTAACTAAATGCATAAATAAATAGTTACTGAGACATGGAATTCTAATCCTAACCATCAGCTCACCAAGAAACTCTCTAAAGGACACCTGCTCAAAGCAGCAGCACTGATGTCTAAATAGAACATTGGCTGCCTAAGCAATGCAGGTTCAAAAAAGAGTGTGTGCATACACGTGCATGCTCTGGTGTTCATTTTCAACCCAAGAATCCAGGATCCAGTCCACGGTGATCTGATTATTTATGAACTTAATTCACTTTATTTAGAAAGTGGGCTTTTCTAAGGAAATAAAAGCAGTGGATATGGGAGTCACAAGGTTCCCCCATCCTGAACAAGATGTTGATAACTAACACTGGCTTTGTCTTGGAATTTCAGGTATGAGACTAAGACTCTTCTGCCAACAATTTTTTTTAATCTAGAGAGGTCAGATGGATTGGCAGTTTACTTTCTCACATTTCAAAATGAAACATTTAAACTGAATGGTTTTTCTTGATAGCCCTTAGTTATCACAAATATTTGGATTCACAGAATCATGAATGCTTCCCTCTTATTCAAACTGATATAGGAAAATATATAAGCTTCAAAAGATTTTCTCTACAGCTGGTATGCAGGTGAGACCCTAGGATGAAAAAGGCTAGTAATCTGGACAAAATATACATCATATTACCATTACTGGCCCAAAGCTACACCAAACAGTTCATTTTTCAACCATATCAGTAACACAACATGACAAAGTTTTAAAACCATCTGCTAAAAATCATAAAAGATGAACAAATTTACCGAATGAAGATAATTTTTAGTTCCAGAATGTACATGTGGGTTGACATCAAAAGAAAGGTAGAACTAAAAACACACTTACCTCTGGTTGAATAGCTTTAAATACAGGAATATCCATTAGTGTTATCTGGCCCTAAAAAAACAAAACAAAAGTATAATTTCCCTTGAGGTTGACTTTGCTTTTTACAATACTATAAAAATGTCATCAGAATGAAGATGCTCCTTCCCTACACTTTCCAGCCCATGTCCCTAACACTGAAACTGCCACAACTGGAAGAGGAAGGAATGAGGATAAGCCCATAATGAAGCTGATCCCATTCGTACCTATGTTTGCAAGTGATAATGGGCGATAGGAAATCAGCAAGGCAAAAAGTAACTCAAAGTAGGGGACAATTAAAGGATATTATGCTTGAACATCTTAAATTTCATCTACAAACAGCACAGGAATGCAAATTGGATTGGACCCACAGCACAGGAAGGGAACACACCCCATAACTCACATCTTCCCAAACCAAAGTACCCCCCCCACATACACACACACTATATGAGTGACTATTCGACTAACTTGGATATTTTCTCTAGTGGGTTATAAATAAATAGCATAGATCCCAATTGGAGACTCCATTGTTTAATTCCAACCAATGCTCCCTCTAAGCTGTGGAGTCTTGTGAGCAAAAATTCTACTTTGTGAGCTACTGGCATGAAAGCTGTGAGTGAGCGATTTGGCTACTGCATAAATTAGTTTGCTCTGGAGCCATCCTTCCTGAGCTAAGACAAAAATGCGTGAGCCGGAGGCTAAAAAACTGGGAGCTAGCGCACACTAACTCAGTTTAGAGGGAATACTGATTCCAACCACATTCTGCTGGAGAAAGGGATGATTTGGAGTTCCTTCAGACTAAAAAATGTAAGGAAAGTTAGTGATAAAGATACAAAAAGTTATGTATTGATAGCAAAAAGCTAGCACACGTGAATGCCCTACTGTCTGGTGTGATGTCAGGAAGATTTAATGGGATTTCATATTCAGGTTGACTATGCAATTGCGGCAGCAGTAAAATTGGCTCTGTGAATCATACATTTGTCCCAAATTTTCAGCTCTAAAAGATGAACTGATCTCCCCTTTATTTAATCAGGACTTCCTCTCTCCAGAAGCAAAATCGTTCTGGTTACTTAGAGATGAAGACAAACTACCCTGCATGTGGCAAAATTTCCAGCAGCTGTTGTCAAATCACATGACAACTTTGGCAGTACCAACCTTTAAATTCTTCCATGTTTTCTTGTGGAATGAGGTTTATTGTGGGATGAGAGTTTGCTGATTATGACTCCGGTTGCAAAAACAATAAAGACAAATAATAGCAAAAATCAAAATAAATCAAAAAGCTGCAGAATGTGGGGGGAATTAAGCAATGGTGCCTCCAAATTGGGATCTATGCTACTTATTAGCAGCAAGAAGAGCTCCAGAAAAATTTCTTTAGGCAACTGGGCAACAAAGCACTTGAGATTCAGTTTAAATACAAAGGGATACTGTGACGACCTCCTTATTGGGGAGGACTGGTTTCCCTTTAAAAGTGTTCTTTATTTTCTTTTACTGGGTATATACGGCTGCCACCAGGAAATTTTAAGGATTTCCAAACCTTTATGCTTTTACTATTGCTCTTTTTTATTTGGTAGACCGAGTTCAAGGCTTACAGGGATCTATGTGATCCTGGGAAGTATTTCATTCAGAGCTGGTATAAACTTGGATGAAAGAGGATTTATTGAAATAACTACTAAATAAGAGGGTTGTACGATGTAACTAGTAAGGTATAAATGATGAACAATTGCTTTGGTATCACACAATCTTATCCCTCACTGACAGGGATCTTTCAGGTAACTTTGTAACACTTGTTTAACTCAAGGTCATATATGTTCACTGTTTCTCTCCAGTTTATCAGGACATACAGCCTTTCCTATAACTTGTCTTCAATTAAACTTTCATTTACTTTTTCCTATACGCTCAGCTTTCCTTCTGTTTCTTTGTCTCACTGAACTAACTCAGTTGACAGCTTATAACTGCTTCAACACAGAACTGCTTGTCTAACTACTAACTGAACATCAACTGTCCACATCTAACTGAAACTCCTGACTGACATACATACTCATCCATTCAGATTCACTTCCAAAACCCCTCCCCCTCTCTGTCAACCACCAATCATACCATACTTGCTTCTCTCAACCACTCTATCTATCACAGCCATGCAACCAAACTTTTAAAGAGACACACACACACAGAAACAAGGAATCATTACAGATACATATCTATATCACTCTAAGAATTAACCTGCTAGATCACTGATAATCTACTGAGTCTACAATTATTTATTTTGTATGTGTTTAGTACTATGGTAGAAGGGGGGAAATATTCTCTACACATTTTCTCCATACATAACGTAATTTTATAAACTTCATATACCTATCCTTTTGTTATCTTTTCCGGTACACTGAGCACCCCACTACCATAGGTGGATTTTAAAAGGAAATGCTTACATTATTTTTACCTGCCAAATTTCCTTCTTGCATTTGGGTAAAAAATAAGTCAAAAGCAAGAAAAAATATGCAGGATGAATACATATGCACACATGGGAAACTTTGTTTCTTCCAGGGAAGTAAGTGTGTTTTGTTTTGGTAAAGATAAAAAGAAACAAAAATTATTATTCAAATGGATAAAATTCATGAGTGCTCTATGCAAACATCTGAAATGCTTGAGTAGATTTTAAGGCATAATTGTACCATGCAGAACACAACTGGGCGAATTAGCTCATTCTAGTTACTGAACGTTAACAACTATGAATAGAGCTCCCCTAGGGAGAAGATTACCACCATTATGGCCTCAGTTGGGAATGGGATACTGGACTATATGGACCTTAGGAACATTCTACCAAGGCCACCCTTACTTTGAAAAACCTTGGCTTTCTTCCTAGCAGTGGACAGTATCAAGATCCTTTTTTAAAAGTACAAAATCAAAGGCAACACAAACATGACTTATTATAAAAACAACCATAAAACGACTGTTTCTGGCGATAGCAAAAATCCAAGCCAAGAGTTTTGTTTTTTTTAAACCCAACAACCTAGCAACAGGAACTTTTATTTGCCAGCAAAGATTAAACAAAGAGCTTGGTGATCTTCCCGTTGGACAACATTCCACAACTGTGGTGCTTCTCTGAGGATGTAGTGTTCAGTGACTGCTGGCTTGGGATTTAGCAGGAAAATTTCTACATGGAAGGACAACAGAGTATTAAGCTGATCATTTTTTTCACAGTCCAACCAGGGCATTAGGACACAACTGAACTGTAACCCTTAAAAACCAGCGTCGAAGGCAGAGAAGGACAATTATCCATAGATAAATTCTGGCTTTTAACAGAACCATATCAAGGCCGATACCCACAATGGAGTCAGTTTCAGATAACCAGATACTTCTCATCTTTCCAATAATGCCAAAACAAACCCAAATCAAGCCTCACAACTTTGCTTAAAAGTTAAAATGAATGAACGTATGCCATTTGATTCTGAGATAGCAATTGGCAATTAAAATCCCTCCACTATTAATATTTCTTATCTTTGTTTCATGGGAGACTTCAACTCCAGAAATGATTTCTGTACAATCATGTATTTACTAGAACTCTACATATTGTATTGTATTAAGGGCCCTTTTAAAAATATATATATATACAACACAAAAAATGTAAAATCTCAAATGAAAATAACAAGGCATAGCATCACCTGCCTCAAAGATAGAGATGTGAAGGCCTGGAACTGAAGCCCTTTTTTCTGGGAAGTACTGAAAAATCTCCTATGAAATATTTTGTCTTTTAGAATGAGTGAAAGGCTTTTAAAGACAAGGGGAGCATATTGTAGATGTATACTGGTGGTGCAAAGTGCCGTCTAGTTGTAGCTGGTTTATCGTGACCCCATAGGCCGGTTTTCAAGGCAAAGAGACATTTAGAGGTGGTTTGCCATTGCCTGCCTCTGCACTGCAACCCTGCTATTCCTTGGCAGTCTCCCATTCAAATACTAACCAGGGCAGACCCTGGTTAGCTTCCAAGATTGGGCTAGCCTGGGCCATCCAGGTCAGAGCCTGCAGATGTATACAGCTGTTAAATACAAGATGCATTTCTGTACCTAGGAGGATACCTGATCTTCATGATGGCAGCATGCAGTGTTTTCATTGCTTCTATGGCCCTTTTGACCTTTCTCTTCTCTTGTGGTTGACCTTTTCACCTCTCCTTCCACCAACTATGACACACAAATCCACAGTTTGGGTATCGAGTAGCTCATTACCCTACTTCCTGGGCAGGGCAGGTGGGAAGAGATCAGTAGGAGGTGGGGCACAAATTCCACCAAAGCCTCAGAGGAAAACTCTTGAGAGTTTCATTGAGAACTGAGCTCTTTCTAAACAGTAGCTACAGAAGAAAGAAGACAACATCTAGCTGGAAGGACATCTAGCTGTGCAGATATTATTAACCCTTTGTGTGACCCTTTATCTGACCCAATATATTTTATGTTATTTAACACAAAGCTTGTTTTCTGTTTAACTGACATTTTTTTTAACTTTTCAGATAGCAAAAATTAAAGCATATGGGCTAAAGTAGCATAGGATACATCAGCTTGCCATTTTCTCTTATGCATGGGCTTATTTACAGTTTTGCTTGTAGGAAACTAAGGCATTTGTAACTTTCAAATTCCATAAATATTTCAAATATTGCACTTTTATAAGTTAAATAAGTCATAAATGATGCATTTCCTGTTATTAAAGCAGTAAAATTAGTTTAGGTTTGATAGAACAGCAAGTATTGAATGTATTTCAACTTTTCCCAACATTTCGTTCAAAGCGATCATTCGTCTCTTGGCGTTTGCGTTGACAACAGCTCTATCCATTTAGAAATGGACGCCGATCTCAGCCCTCTTCAGAGCGAGCAGTGTGGCCTCACAGCAGGCTCCTTGAACCTCTCGCCTCTCCCCAGAGGCGAGCCTGTGGTCTACGGTGACTCAGAGACCCTTTCTTTGCTGAGAATCAGTCGGTCTTCCGAGAGCACTTCTCTCGTGCAGCCGCTGGTGCCGCGTCGTCCTGCAGACTCCTCAACCTTTCCCAACATTTCAATTTAAAAAAGCAACCCAGAAAAAAAAGATTTCCGCTCCCGTGTCTTCAACATTTCCAGAAATTTTACATCTGTACTCCCAGAACACCCTTATTTACGTTATAAGCCCATGTTTTTCACTGAGACTCAAGGTGAATTACAAAAGAAAACACAGTAAAAAAGGCCAATATAATATGTACAAACAATGCACTAAACCAAAAGTAGATAACAATGATATAAAATAGTATAATACATCAAATAATGCATTTTCTTTTAAAAGGCCCAACATTTTAGACATTAATCATACAGTCCTATTCCCTTATTACAATGCCCTCCTGACTAATCCTCTTTTCCACTTTCTGTGGAATGATAGAAATGCAGAAACTTTCTTGACCTCGTCAGGCAGGTCATTCCATCAGGTGAGAGCTACAACCAAGAAATCTCCAGTCATGAACAGTGACTGATCTTAACCACCTGCAGGGTGGCACATTCAGAAGGCTTTACAGTGATAAGTGAATGTGCCAATGGACTATATCAAGAGAGGCAGTCTTGGAGACATGTAGGTCTTACATGCTGAAAGTCTTTGAAGTTAATAACCGCACTTTGAACTGAATACAGAAGCTAATCAGTGACTGCAGAACAGATATATTATGCATACTCTGCCTAGCTCCCAACAGTAAATGAGCTGAGCCATTCTGCACCAGCTGGAGTTTCCAAGTTGTCTTCAAGGATATACCCCTGTTTAGTGTGTGAGAATAATCTAGCCTTGAGGTAACCATGGTAACACAGTATATCCAATATGTAAAGTGCATATTTCTCAGCGTAAGAGAAAAATCTTCTCACCATACTTTGCCTAGCCTTTTATTGCCATCATTCTGTTTTTTGGATTGGCATCAGAACACCATATTCCGATAAACATGATGTCACTGAAAGTCACGTCCCATGTGAACACAATACTAACTTAACAAAGCTCTGGGACAAGAAGAATGCAAAAAAGATTACCATGCAATTCTTGAGGTGGATTCATGAAATGGCATGCTAGCAACAACACAAAGGCACATGGTACTCTTTACAAATGAACATGTGTCATGTGAAAACAGTACTCCATGCTGCAAGTATAATCTTTATACCAGCCCTAAAACATTAGAAATTCTAGCCTGTGTATTACATAAGCAAATGGGGTAAGTCAGGTAAGCTAAAGAAGCTTTAGCTTTCTTTCAGAAAACAACTTTGTTCTATCTTTCAGGAAACAACTTTGAAGATTCTTGATTACCTCTTCAATTCCTTCAGAAGCATTTCGGGTCTATTATATATACTTACTTGAAAGGAAGACCTGTTCCCTCCCCCACAACCCTCCCCAAAAGGAGGCCATTTTAAATCTGCATACAAATTAGTTATGTGCAGTACTAAAAACCCATTTTGTGTATAACCTTTTTTTGGGGGGGGGGGGGGGGCTTTAACATTCATTTGTCTTACAAATTCTATGTTATCTTCCTTTCCAGCAAATACAGTAACTGTTAAACTCATCATGAGAAAACTCATCATGAGAAAGCAGCATAAATCTATCCCAACCTCCAAATTTAATTTAAAAACAATGTCTGATCATCTTTTACTTAGTAGCTTGTTAGTAAGTACATTTCTTCACTAGCCTCTTAGTTTAGACATTAAATGTCTGGATTTTATTAAAGAATTAGATACTGCTGTATGGGAGCAACAAATTAAAATGGTGTAAATCCTCGAAAAGCTGAGGTCTTCTATGGAATTTGTTATTTTATAGCATTACTCCTTACTAACACCTTCTAAAAAGAGTAAATAAAAGCACAAAGAAATATTTATACTACACTTGATGTAAACAGACTGAAAAGTAAAATAATCAGAAGGCCTTTCTAATCTTCCAAAAAGCAAGCTGTTTGCAACCACTCCAGCGATCCTTCTGGCAACTTTTTGAACAATTCTCCCACACAGCGTCTGTACATAGGAGAGGAAAATTTTTGGGTGTTACTGGAAATCGGAACAACTCATACCCCTGTCTCTTAGAAATGCAACATACTCAGCAGGAGCCACATACCTAGGCAACAAGGCGGCTATTTGTTGAAGCAGTGGCTGGACGCTACACTGTGAAGCTTTCAATCAGAGCAAATTACAGCAATAGAATCACCCACCAAGACACAACACTACTTCATACTCTTACTAATCAACTGCTGATTTCATAATTGGTATTTATATATTATTTCACACTTATGTAACCATACATTCATTTATCATTTTAAATGGTACAGCCAGCAGCTGGCAGGGTGGGCTCAAGCAGGGCAGCAATGGGGAAGGTATAGGAAGCCCATCACTTCTGCCAAGTCGTAGCAGCACAGGAGGAAGACAAGTCCCAGAAGCACAGTTGACACCTCTGGAAGTCACCTTGCAGTGGGGGCAGTGGCACAGGAGAAGGCAACATCACTCACCTCCTCCCAAACCACTGTCCTCATCAAAATGTAGTGCCCCAAGTTACCTGGGTGGTAAGTCGGCCCTGGTAGATGGGGATAAAATAGATCAAAAACTCATTCATATATGTATGTGTGTGTGTGTTGCTTTCAAGAAATAACCACCATCAAGAGACCAAGACATTATATGCCTGCCAGAATGGAGGCTGCTGCCTTTGAATGCTTCTGTTCTCTGCTTCTATATTCTTTCTGATGATAAGGAAAGCTACTGGGATGTAGGAACACCTGCTTCCACATTAATATCTGTTAATATCTGTTATATTAATATCTGTTATAGAGGGAATGATCCCCAGAAGCAATTCCTCCTTTGGACATATGTAGCAACTGCTTGAGGCTGCAAGTTCGACAACTGAAAGGTCACATGTCAATTGCAGTTGCAAGGTCATGTATGTTGTACAATATCCCTGCAGCAACAGGGGGGAAAGAACATCAAAATGCATAATTTCGCAATCAGTTCTTTGTCTCTACTTTTACTTGTCAGTTACAATTTGAACAGTTTGAATCTAAAGAATTAGGTTTCAGGAATGTAAAAATTCCAGGTCAGGGGGGAAGAGAGGACTGGGCAGCACAAAAATTGTGATGGCTTTAATGGCTAATCCTGATGAAGACAGAATTTCCAAACGTGTACCACATCACTCCAGCTTTGTAATACAATATGGGTACGCTACAGCATCTCAGTCGACCTGTAAGGGCCTGACAAGCTAGAAGATTAAAACACTAAACACAGAACAGCAACTCAAACTACAATCCCCACTTTCACAGCATGTCCTCCTAACACATTGTACTAGAAGATAATGTTCACATATGCTTGGACCAGAAGAGAATGCGACTGGAACGACACCATCAGCAGAGACCTCTAAAATAACATTCCAATAGGGACTCCTATACAAAGGATAAGGTTGACCTATACTTCTATAGCCCATAGTTGGTTGGCTAGTCTTCATCATTCCCTGCCATATTTTCTCTTTAAGGGGTGCAGACATTGCAACATGCCAGATTGGGGAGGGGGGTGGGAAGAGAGAGGACCCTCCCCCGATCCTCCATCCATAATTTGTCCCACTTCTATCATTATCAGTGCAAGTAATGCACCGCAAACTGGAAGGTCAGTTGGAAGGCATTTACAAGCACAAGGAAATTAAAGCAGTCAGATTAGCAAAACATCTGTGAATGACTTACTGCATATTCTTCTGGAGTAACCTTTAGCACATCAAATACTACTGCATCAAAACTTTTCTTCAGTTCAGCAGAACCTTTGTCACTTAACGACTCAGAACTGCTACTCTTCTGTGGGAACAGAAAGATAAAAGTCCTTTCAATACAAAGTGGAAATATATATGAATGCATACCTGTTCTGGAAACAAAGTTCTTTACAGTCCATCTTTTTTCACAACAGAACAGGTAGGAAACAGTGGTCAGTAAGGCATAACTCTAAAATTAATGAAATCTGATGTCATACATAATGGAAGAAGTTTCCTGTTGAGAATTTAAAATCTTCATCCTTTTCAGAGAAAACTGCTTTAACAAATAGAAGAATAAGGAACATGGCCACTTACTGTGAGCACTCCTTCTGCTCTCAGGAAGGGAGGACATCCTGACATGGGTGAACCCACAGCCCATCGAAGAGGCCGGACTAAAATTCTTCTAGACTTCCTGTCTCCTGGGTGGAGTCACCCACTCCTTAGTTCAGTAATTCCTGAAGCAGTATCTATACTAAAACACTAAGTAAACCATTCAAATTTTAGGAAAGAGGAAACATGTTAGGACAGGAAACGAGAAGGCATTAACATGGAGAATACAGCTTGTTTTTCCACCCTTTTAAAATCAGAATGGGACAAGATGCCCTCCCTTTTCCTGAGAGCAGAAGGAACACTCATGGTAAGTGCCCATGTTCCTTTCTCACGCTAAAGGGGAGGGCATCTTGATATGTGATGTCCAAAAAAAGTTGTAACTCATGTTCAGTGGGGAAACCAGTCCACCTGCACCACTTGCTTGTAATACCCTTCTTCTGAAGGCTGTGTCAGCTGAGGCAAGGGTATTCATTTTGCAGTGTCTGACGATGATGGATAGAGGTGACCAATGTTCCCTCTAAGTTGTGGAGTCTTGTGAGCAAAAATTCTACTTTGTGAGCGACTGGCATTAAAGTTGTGAGTGAGTGATTCAGCTGCTGCATCAATTAGCTTGCTCTGGAGCCCTCCTTCCTGAGCTGAGACAAAAATCTGTGAGCTGGAGGCTAAAAAACTGTGAGCTAGCTTACGCTAACTCAGCTTAGAGGGAACACTGGAGGTGACCACATGGCCACCTTACAGGTTTTTTTCAACAGAAGCTTCGTTGTCCAATGTTGTGCTGGTTGTAGCAGTAGGAATGGAGTGAGCTGTAATTCCAGGTGGTAGCTGGAGCTTGCTGACTTGGTAAGCATGCGAGATGCGCAGCCTTTGGGTCTTACTTATTGCCACTCTAGACATTTTCTATCCGTTGTTGAGGAGAGAGTGTATTTTACAAACTAATGCTGGGCAACTTATGTAGATCTTCAGGGCTCTGTGAAGATCTAGCATGTCCCACTCCTTTACTTTGGGGTGGGATGGGTTTTGGCAGGATGAAGCCAATGATATTTCCTGAGAGTGGTGGAAGGAAATATTGACCTTCGGACTAAATGCTGGATTTGTTCTTGGGACTGCTATGTCCTTATGAAGAAAACACAGACCTTTCCTGGTAGATATAGCTCCTGATTACAAGACCCTTCTGGTTGAAGTCACAGCTGTCAGAAACAGGAGCTTCACTGTCAACCATTTTTAAAGGAACTTCTCTCAGAGGCTCAAACAGAGGTCGAGTGAGTGCCAACAGGACTATGTGTAGTTGCCAATAGGAAACCTATGGACAACTGGAGGGCTGACATGGGCTACTCCTTTCAGAAACCTGAGTATCTGGGGATGTCTGGATATAAGCATCCATCAACTTGTGGGATCACTGTAGCTAGGAATGCCATTTGTCTGTGTAGCATACTTTGGTTAACACCACCTTGCTAGTACTCCAGGATTTGCCTTGATCTCAAGAAAGTTGATGCTCATTTTCCTTTCTGCACAAGTTCCAGGTCCCTTGTGCATGTCTTCCCTGAAATGTTGCTTCCCAGCCTGTCAGGCTTGTGTTTGGATTATGCTGGGCTTGATGTATTCCTTGCCCTTGGCCAGATTGGATTGTTGAGTCCACCACACGAGGCCCTGTGGAAGATGGTAGGTAACAAATAAGTGAACATTTGTCTTCTGAAGGATCTGCAGCTGGAAAAGTCTCATGAAACACTGCAGAGAATAGAAGTGAAACTTCACCTAAGGAGTCCAGACAAGCAATCATTAGGCCTTGCAGTCTTGCCAGAGTCAATAGTGATAATGATCTGGAATCTACCAGCTGTTCTGCCATGTTTGAGATTTTTTGGGATCTTCTCCTCTGGCACATACAGCCTGTTTACAGGGGAATCTACTGTGACTCCGGGTGTTCTATCTGCTGTGATGGAATCAGATTGCTCTTGACTGAACTGATAAGGACCCCATGGTGAGCTAAGCCTTGAGCAGTACTAGGCTCAGAGAGGCAGCAGGTTGTCCAGGTACAAATGAACAAGGATTCTCTGATGACGGAGAAGAGCTCACTTGGGAGATAGCTAGGGTAGGGTACCAAAGAGTAGGGCTTTTCCAGTCTTTTTGTTTTCCGCTGGAATCAGCTGAACTAGCTTCCTGACGAAACGATGGAAGCCCTCACAGAGAGGATGGGGCTGATACCGCAATTACAAGGGCTGAGGCCTCTTGGGATTTTCTCAGAGCGTAATCTGACATATGGTCCAGATGGTCATGTGGGGAGCCATCCCCATCTTTAGTAACCAAGTCCCCTGAGAGAGCTATGACAGAAGCCTCTACTAATGGAACTTTAAGAGATCCATAGTGTGGCGCTCCATCTCCATGACTGCTCTGCTGCAGCCATGAGCACCAAACCTAGTGTCTGCCATCTTTGTTGGTGTGGAGGATCTTTCTGCCAAAATCATCTGCTGCTGTTGAGGCACCCTCTTAGTGAAGTCAAATTGTGCAGCTTGCTTCTTTTGCCGCCTCTGCTCGTCTGCCACTGGCCACTCTTCTTTTCAAAGTTCTCCATGTCTTCAGCCACTCTGCCCACAGAAGGGGGGAGAGGAGTAGGGCAAAAGGAGGAACTGAGATATAATAAAGCACTGAGAAGAAGCAAGCATAAACAGGCAGAAACAGAAGTATTAGGTGCCTCCTGCTGAGCTGTAGGGTGCTTGCTAAGTAGCTCCCACCAAAAACCTGTTATCCTTAATGAGGCAGGAAATGAAATGAGGAAAGTGGGTGACTTTACCCAGAAGACTAGAATTCTGGATTAATTTCAGTCCTGCTTCCTTGGTGTACTGATGGGAATCACCCATGTCAACATGCCCTCTCCTCTCAGAGTTAGAACGAAAAACTGTTCTCAATTTTTTATAAATTTTACTGGCAAAGCATAGTCATTTTAAATTTATATTCTCCTAGAATGGTTTACAACATCATCCCCCCACCTCCATTTTCCCCCCTCACAACCACCACCCTGTGAGTTGGGCTAGTCACACTTTCTCATTCTAGCTTAAGGTCACCCAGACAGCTCCCACAGCACAGTAGGGGTTCAAGCCTGTTCTGCCAGGTACTACTCCAACACTTTAACCATTATACTATGCAAGCTCTTATTTATAGATATACAGACCAATCATTAATCTGATGATGGCATGTAGAAATAAGACTTATTTGAATTAAAGAATATGTTACTGGATTTTCAAGTGCATTCTAAAGGATATTACCAAAGAAATTTGAAATGAAGAAGCTCTTTGGACTAAGATGGTAAAAGCATTTAAGTCACTTCCCAGTATGATTCTTGAAATAAGAGTTATGGACAATCAGAAGCATGACGGCTGGAAAAAAGTGCAGGAAGCCTGGTGAAATATGCTATTACACCAACAGTAAGCTACAGAGAGCAGCTTTTGGGGAGGTGTGAATCACATAGAGCCATGAGATGCCCATCCAGTATTCCAAAACTAATGACACCCGTAGCTGAGTTATACAGATCAAAAGAACCCTAGACCCCTGTTTAATCAAGGTGTTTAAAGGACACATTTCAGATACTTTTGTATGGAAATAGGTACGCTAAGCTCCCCAAATTCAAGGGTGGGTGCCAAGTATGGCAAAAAGTGTAAGGAAGACTGCAGATTAAGCTGATATGAGCAATCATGAGAAGCAAGATCATATATGGCATAAGCATGACAAGCAGAGTTATACCATCTTCTTAGGATGGCACTTTTAGCTTCTAATTAGAAAGGGCATGAGGGTATCTAGGGAAACAAAACCTAGCATGTAATCCAATTAAATTGTATTACTTTATAAACATGTGTTTCTATTCCTTTGCTGCCCATATAACCACTTGCTTTTTAGTTACTGTGCTTGCAGTGTACACATTTCATTTCTCTCCCATTTCTGTAACTCTTCTTTGGTCTCATTTTTAGTTTTCTATCCTTTGTTTTGCCATTATGTCAGATGAATTACCTGAATTTGTTATAGCTGAAATATGGAGCCTATGTCTTCTGTGCTAGTCTGCTATTTGCTTACTGGTTTGCTTACTGATATGATAAGAAGCTCATTTTCAGTATCACGATTTGCCCAAGCACAGCAAAGAAACTTTTTGCTCTGGATTTCCACCAAAAGAATTTGCTTACTAAGTAAGGGGATCGAAGGCGAACTATCTATCTAAACAGAGCCAGATTTCCTGGGCAGCAGGGAAGCTAAAAAATTGTACTGAAATGACTGGAATCTAGAGCTTGTTGTCCACATTAACAGATGCAGTGCAACTGCCCCAAGAATACTCCACTGGGCATTTCTGGTATGGGTAAGCTGCCAGGATGGAAGTAGGGGATAGAATACGCACCAGAACAAGCTATGAGCTCAGCTTCCTGAATTTCACCTTCCTCAACTGCCAAAATGCCTTTAACAACCAGGAAAAATTTGTATTATATTTGATTTAATGAAATAAATTACTTCTTGCTGATGATGCAGCTCAGATTCTGATACAGTGGCCCATGTGATATGTACTGGCCAGAAGTGATGTATCCTCCCAATATGAAAAGCTCTCAAGCACTGACTTAGTGCACCAGTCTGCCATTATTAGTGATGTTTACTCTACTGTATCTCACACACCCTACACAAACCTAGTAATTTGCAGCAAATCAGCAGCCTGAAAGAACCAGTGCTATCAGTCTACCAAGCTTCCTTGCTACTTGCTTGAAGGAGATAATAAGCCTAGTGCAAAACTATTTAGAAGCCTGATCTTTTTACTGGCCAAAAGCCAAGTGTTCGTTCATAAGCCCTGCTCAGAGAAGTTCAGCACAGAACAAGAATTGACTGCATAATTATTTAAGGTGGCAAAATGAAGTGCTATCTTTGTTCTGTGTATGGTGTAGTATGCCTCTGCAGTTTTCCTTTCCTTTCATCTAATAAAAGCTTTATGATGCATAGATCTTGAGCAATGAACAGTTACTTAAATCATTTATTATCCAAAAGACAAAAGGAGTTAAAAAAAATTGCCACTGCTAAGAGCAAGTAGAGATGTAACCATCTTATAGTGATATGTATCAGAGCAGGCTGACAAACATGGTGAAATGTAGTAATTTCAAAGGTTAATGTACAATGGACACTCCAGGAAATACATATAATGGTATCAATCATCCCTAAAGAACAGCAGCAAGTTCATTCTAAGTAAAGTAAGCACAAAAACCTACCCCTCATAACTATCAAAGAGTGGGTATTTAATCTGGCCAGTACAAACACTCTTAAAAGACTTAGAGGGATCAACAGATAAGTATAAGAGGGAAGAGATTTTAAAGGAGGAATGCCAAATAACAAATATGAACAAGTGCATCACACTCTAACCTCGATGTTGCACTGCCGTTTGCCCCGATACTATTGGTCAATTTCACACCCGAAGCTGCAGGGCTGCATTTTGACTCGTGGCTTCGCCCGATTTCCCCCGCAGTTTCGTGATCCTGTTTTTTGAGGATCACGAAACTGCGGAGGAAATCGGGTGAAGCCACGGGTCAAATGCAGCCCCGTGGCTTCGGGTGTGAAATTGGTGCAACATCGAGGCAGCTCTAGTGCGAAATCAGCCTAAAAGTAGAACTTCGATAAGCAATTTTACATGACTTCTCACCAAGACTGAAAACCTGGACAGCACCTGGAATATAATTCCAACTTTCATTTTGAAAAAATCCTAACACAATTTTTTGCTTTATTTCTTATCAGCAATTGATGTGGGTCCCATTTTAAATTAGATGGGAAAAGAATACCCAAATATGAAAACTCCTTTACTTTTTGGATTCAATGTCCATTGATACACTGTAGGATTTCTTTCTCTGTTTCTTTCTTTTCTCTCTTTTTAAAGAGAAGGCAACTACTTGAGATTTTATTCTCAGGGCTTTCCTAGTACAATATTCCAAAGAAAAAGTTTTTAAAAGATTTCTGAAGACCAACTCTCATCTGAGATAATAGGACAGTATCAGTAGCATAGAGCAAACCTGGAATATTACAACTGACCAAATGAGGTAGGTGACAAGACACATAAAAAATGAGTCAAAAGATCATTCATATATAGATTAAATAAAAACAGATCCAAGAGCCAACTCTGCAGTTTTAAAAAAGCAATTACACAATGGACTCTTGTTGTGGGTCCCTTACCTCTGAAGCGGTAGCTGCAATATTAACACTGCTGGGCTGCCCGTTCATTAGGTCCATACTGCCCACACCATCAGGCTTCTGCCCTACATCTGAAGTAGTGGATTTAGTAATTAATTCATCATGAAGGCACCTGAGTCATCATTCCTAGAAAAAAACAAAAACTAGTCAGAAGCAGTTTACAGTTCCATTAACTAAGAAAGTCATGGCCTCATAACACAATACGACTATCTTTGGCAAACTGTGGTTTTATAGAAACTTTCAACCCACTTATGTGTGTACAAGTCTACAAAGTTATGCTGATACTCCAAGTTCATTGCCAATCAACATAAAAATGAAGGTCCTCAATTTTGAGGATAGTTTGCAATCTTTCTGTTCTCCATCTTCTGTGATCTAGTTTGTTATGTATTCTGCTCAGTATTCAAACACACAAATGATTCTATATAGCCAAGGGGCCTGTACAGACTCTCAAACACAACCCCCTATTCCACGTGGTAAGCTACTTCTAACGTTAAAGCCATTTCTGAAACAGTATGAGGGGCACCGGTTCAAAGTTCCAAAGGACAAGCATCAGACCCTGCATGAAAGCTAAGGAACAATTTGGATCCCAACAACCAACCTGAATTCAAAAGATTCAGAATTCAGACCCTCTACGTTAAGAAGCTTCAGAACTGCTGAGCCAACAAGAGCCACTTTTAATGTTACTTTTTTCCAAGCCAACTGCTGGAGAAAACATACTAGTACAATGACTAAACAGAGCTATAACCCATTTAAATCTTCGTCTGTAAGACACTTTAATTGTCATACATATAGAAATAAAAATTCTTCAGAAGCTCTACTTTGTTTTTGGAAGGATGCTTGCACGTGTTGCATTAGGTTCCATTTTTAAGGGTCATCACCTCCTGTGTGGAGGGAGCCAGATGCATTCAGACACTGCGCGCACTCTCTCACACAAACAGAACCTGTATGTACTACAAATGAAATCCTCCAGCTTGCACATAGCACAGATGCTGAAAAGGTCGTGGTCCAGGAAGTCTTTGATGTAACCACAAACTGTGACTGAGAGCAAAAACAGATGTTACTGTGGCCATAGGTCTGACCCATGGCTGCTGGCACCATTCTAGAGAAGAATTTGGCCATCGGGCCTGCACAGCATTTGTAATTCTTCTCTAAATAGCATCAGCAGCCATGGGTTGGCTCGATTCCAATTTTTTCTGGACCATAAATAAAACCCATTTGGTAAATTACCCAAATTTCAGACATTACAGTGAACAGCAATCATATGAAATACTTCCTAAACCAGGAAGCTTTCACTTTTGGTGTAATGCGTGAGAGGAGGGCAGAGACATGAAAGCCAAGAATTTCGGCCCATTTATGTCATGGGCAGTTTGTTCACGATGTTACCCCCCCCCCATAGCAACACTTAGCTTCTGAGGATGTAACCACAAACTGTGACTGAGAGCAAAAACAGATGTTACGGTGGCCATAGGTCTGACCCATGGCTGCTGGCACCATTCTAGAGAAGAATTTGGCCATCGGGCCTGCACAGCATTTGTAAATAGCCAAATTCTTCTCTAAATAGCATCCGCAGCCATGGGTTGGCTCAATTCCAATTTTTTCTGGACCATAAATAAAACCCATTTGGTAAATTACCCAAATTTCAGACATTACAGTGAACAGCAATCATATGAAATACTTCCTAAACCAGGAAGCTTTCACTTTTGGTGTAATGCGTGAGAGGAGGGCAGAGACATGAAAGCCAAGAATTTCGGCCCATTTATGTCATGGGCAGTTTGTTCACGATGTTACCCCCCCCCCATAGCAACACTTAGCTTCTGAGATTGCTTCAACCTGCCAGTTTAAAGTTTTAAAGTACTTTACGAAGCACTTTCCTCTGTATGAACACAAATATGGAACAATTTAAATCTTTAGAGAGTACAGCCTATGAGTTTATGGGGAAGGACAACTTATCACACTACCTTCACTAACTGTGCTTATAACCAACTCTTAAGAAACTAGATTCGGAGAAATAGAAACTTGTTAGGCGATTCCTCCTTTGTCTTCAAACTGAAAGCCCAAGTTCCATTTACAAGTGTTTTATATGAATACTTCTATCTTTCCCAGTTCAAGAAAAGAAATGCAACATTGTCCAGTGTGTTTGCTGAAACTGAAACAAAAGTAAATTACTGGAAGAGTTTTCTGTTCCACATATCTGGGTGTATTCACTACCAAGCCAAATCATGGGGTAGAAAATGTGCCACACATACACGATATCTGTCAGGCATTTGGGATACATTGATTTTTGCAAGTTATATAGTTCTACTCCCTATTTTTGTATGTTTTATGAACATAGTACAAAATCATACATAGTACAAAATCACAGGGATTTAGTTTCTATGCAGAACACTGCTTTGGGATATTTTAAATATTGCTGAGATGAAATAAAGCAGAAATTATCACTAAATAAGGAAGAAATACTCTCGATAATCAGCAACTGTTTAGCAAATTAAACCTCAATTACACACAGAGCCATTAGCACTGTTCCAGTGAGAATGCTGATTCCTTACATGCAACACTTTAAGAGGGAAATTTAAAACTGTAGCAACTGCTAGTTTTTAAATAGCTGGTATGTCTTTCACATGATGGTGTGACAGTGCCACCTTGTGCCAAGACTATGCAAGTTTCAACTGCTTGAGAGTAGAGTTTGAACAGCAGCTGATAAAAAAATAAGTCAATCTGAAACTAAAGAGTTTGCCACAGCCAAAAAAGTTTTGTTTGGCATAACCTGAGAATATGCAACCCTAGCATGTGAATATCTGATAACCGGCAAATCAATACACATGAATAATAATCACCTGTCACCAATATTCCCTCTAAGCTGTGGAGACCTGTGAGCAAAAATTCTACTTTGTGAGCTACTGACATTAAAGTTGTGAGCAAGCAATTTGGCTGCTGCATAAATTAGTTTGCTCTGGAGCCATCCCTTCCTGAGCTAAGACAAAAATACGCGAGCTGGAGGCTAAAAAAATGTGAGCTAGCTCACACTAACTCAGCTTAGAGGAAACCCTGCCTGTCACTGGTATCCCTGCCATCCCTTCCTGAGCTAAGACAAAAATACGCGAGCTGGAGGCTAAAAAAATGTGAGCTAGCTCACACTAACTCATTTTTAAAAAAACCCTGCCTGTCACTGGTATCCCTCTCAGTCTCAACATGCCACTTTGTGAGACTACCCTTCTCCTGTATTCATCACAGACTTTTTTTTAAAAAAACCCTGCCTGTCACTGGTATCCCTCTCAGTCTCAACATGCCACTTTGTGAGACTACCCTTCTCCTGTATTCATCACAGACTTTAAAAAAAACAAAAAACCTGAATATGCCCCCTTAGTAATACTAATTGTATGTTCTGATGTGTGTCTCATAAGTGTGAAACCTACCACCAAAGGCAGGCTCCCCAATGCCCAAGTGGCACATTATTTGGGCTGCTTTTTGATCACCAAAGTTAAAATGAAAAGGAACATCAAAAAGGTAAGAAATGGTAATGAGTATGTTAGGGAAGCATTCTAAGGTGCATGATTCATGCACTGTTATAACAGGGGTTTTTTATGTAACTATGTTGCACCTAATTCTTAGCCACATATAGTGAATAAAACAGTATATGGTAATACATATATCAAACAAAGTGGCAGAGAAAAATATTTAAAAAACCATACAGCCCATCTTTCAAAATCAAAAAAATTACAGTAAGGTAGAAAATGTATCAGAGTATATTTCTCAACTTAATTTGAGGGTAGAATAATCAGTTGTGGAGCAACAGCCTATTATCTGTCAATATCCACCAAGATATCAGACAAGAGAACAAACCCCTAGGAGAAAAACCTAGAAAATTTAAAAAAACAAAACACTCCCTGTTCTCCCCTAATTTTACATCCTATAGGGGTTTTTTTGCTGTGGATTGAGTAAAATGCCATTTGTGACAATGTTCAGAATGCTCAGTATGATTTTTTAAATTTAATACAATTTACAGCATTAGATAATTTTGTGTAGACATACAACAGAGTTTCAAGCATATATTTATTGTTTAAATGTGAATGTTGGGTCACTCTGGCCTGTCACACTCTTAGCCTGGCCTACCTCAGTGGGATGTTATGAGGATAAAATGCAAGTGAGCCGAATATTTATATTTAGTGGAGTTCCAGTAAGGACCTGCACTGCTGCATTCTGGACCAGTTGTAGTCAGTCTTAAGGGTAGCCCTACATAGAACGAGTTAAAGTAGTCTAGCCTGGAGGTGACCATTGTGTGGATTACTGCGGCTAGGTCAGGGCGAGACTGGAAGGGGGCCAGTTGCCTGATCTGGTGCAACTGAAGAAACACTAACAGCAACCAAAGAGGAACACACAGTGTAGGTATACAAGGGAATAGTAAATCTGTGTGAAAAAGATGCTAATACTGGTTCAAAAGATGCTAATACTGGGTCAATAAAGACCAAAGCACTGATACAATTACAATCATATAAGCACAATCAAGTCCAATCTTAATGTAGAAAAATTTCCTCTTGAGATGAAGACATATCAAGAATGATAAACGAAGAATCCAGATATTAAGCACTCCGTTTCGAAGAATTTCCTCAGTAACTGAAACAATATATCTTCAAATAGGTTATATGCACTCTTGTGAGTTACAGCAACACATCTCATAAATGGGCAGTTATTGACAGCACATCTCAGAAAAAGCTCAAGGCTTTACATCACACTTCCTTCCATAATCACTGTGCTGTGCATAAGAACTTAAGTAATACCCTGCAGGATCAATCCAGTCGTCCATCAAGTTCAGCATCCTGTTACATAGAGTAGCCAACTGGTTCCCCTGGAGGGCCCTCACTAGCAGTCTACTGTCGTAGCTCAATATTTCCCTGATTGCTGAGGTACGTGGCTGTATGAGCAGAAAGCTACACCTGAATCTGAAGAACTACTCTGCATGGAAGTATTTCCCCAATTATCCTATGAGGACAGAGTTGGGGTTAAGGAATGCATCCCTAAACCCAAACTCTCTCACATACTTCTATAAAAAGAACGAAGTGTTGAGCCCAGTCGCACCTTTAAGATCAACAAATTTTAATTCTGGGTA